ACATCACATAGCGGATATGTTCAGGGGTACACAGATGAAGACGATGAATTGAACAAACACGCAATGCAAGTGCAGCGAATGAATAACATTATGAAGTATGACATAATTTGGCTCATATAAGACGAGTAGTAGTAGGTTATGGGTGTTCCACAAGAGAGGTCCCAGATTTTCTCCTAGAGATAGGAACATAAGGTGTTAACGCAATGTTAAGTCCTCAGTGGCCTTGAAGCAGTTTATGGTTTTGGAACATTTTTTTGACCTCTTCTCACGGAACCACCTTGCATAGGCCCTGACAGCAGACGTACAATCAGTGGCTGCTTAGAGCAATCATTTAACAGTACTAAAATGAAGTTTGATCAGATGCATTTGAAATGTTTTCATCACAGGTCCATTTAATGCGTGATGTTGCAGGCTGTGTAGGTGGAAATATGGAGTTTCGTTATCATCTAAACTTAATGAGTCAACATTGGATCACAAAGTTTATCAGAAGCTTAGATATGAATGGTCGAGACCATCAATTAAATAGAACCGACTTTGACACCATCTTGACGTCATAATATCACCATGGTACAAAATGTTATCAGCTTGAGAAGGCAGTGTAAATATCTGTGCACATCCTGGGATGGAGAGTCAGTTTATCCGGGATGCCAATAGTGAAGAAAAACGATGAGCAAACGTTTCATTCGCTGTCCCTGGCAGATAAATTTTTTATTGTATTCCTTCATGGTCTGGACTGAGAGATTCAGTGCCAGATTAGAAAAAAAAATAAATTTATGAGCTTGCACAACAAAGTTGTTATCAGAACAGATGTACTTTCATACAAGCGAATTAAACGGTGTCGCTGAACGAATGATATAAAAAGAAAAATTGTTTATCACTCTAAAAGCTGTGACATGAGGTTTGTAAAATTATCCGCTTTTGATCCTCCAAAGATTGAAAATCCTCAGGAAGAATGGCAGAACTCATCTGTGGTGCAGTTACTTACGTGAGTAAATGACAACAAGCGTACTTCAGCTTAAAATATGTACTGAATGCGTTTTCAGCACCCGCCGGTGCAACGAATGTAGTCACTGAACTCTCTTTGCCATAGCTGTAGGGCTGTTTCTATGACTGTAGAAGGTATTCGGTCACAAGTCTTTGCTTGGACCAACTGTATGATCAGCAGAACTGCGTGGCGAAGAAATGGGCCAAGAATAAGAGACCAATGAACAGTGGCAGCAAGCAGCTGAAAACGAACTGTCGAACTGACATGCTCAAAGACTGAGCATCTTGCTACCTTGCTTAATCGAAAGAGTCTCAGGCTTTTATTATGTCATTGGTATATCTAACCGTTGAAGTGTTTTAAAATTAGATACCACTGGAGACGGCAACTTGATTGTTATTACTTTTAGTCCCTCAAAAGAACACTGGATGACATTTTGGTTCAACCTTGCCGTTTTACCCTCTGAGCAAAGAATGACAGTTCTGAGTAAGACAGAAGGAAAATTTACTGACTGAGAATAAACTTACAAATATAGTATCGGTAGTTGGACGGTTAAAATATGGCAAAGTTAGTCCATTAATGCCTTCAAAATTTATATGCCTTTTTTATTGCACTGAATGAAGAAGGAAATTTTTTGTCAGGCATTGTTTATTCAATTTGCTAATTAATCCTTGTTCGTTTTCACTGGATTCAACTTCACC